CTTTCATCTTAGAACAAAGCTTCTAAGTATCCACTCCTATTCAGGAAAAGAGAAAAGGCACACTTTCTCACAAGGAAAACATATGACTCTACAGGACCTAGAACTCACCACTCTGATCTCCTCCTAGAGTTTCCGCTTCCAGTTCAACAGACCACTGGATATCCCCCAAGCTGTGAAAACCATTGTTTTGCCACCTTTCAATAAACTTTTAAACTTTTTCCCAGCCTCTGAGTTTTTGCTTCTGCATGTTGGCTAAACATTTAAAACCCATCATGTCAGTTACCTAGTTTCTCTACCCCGACACACCATTCAGAATTCAATAGGCTGTGTTGGAGCTGGTTGCATAGAAAACTAAAAGGACTGTGGCACTTGAGGGAGTGACAGAGTGAGCCAAAAGTGTTATCTGGCATGCAAGTTTTATAAAGTGGCATAGGCCAGTTCGAAACGGGTAATGTCAGTTGGAAACCAACAGATCCCAGTTGAAAAATTGCATACACCAGTTTATTCAAAGGCCCTACATCAGTGCTAAATATCCTAATCTGGTTTTATTGACAATATGTTTTTGCAGTTATGATAAAGTGTATTTATGTATGTAGTTACATTAGTAAATGTGTGTATGTGTTGAAAAACAAACAGTCATACCGCAAAAACTTGTAGTTTTGTTTGCTTTGACAATGGGACTAAATGTTCCGAAAACGGCAGCATATTGTCAGTATAACAGTGCAGGGTGAGTGATCTGCTAAGCATTAGCCTTCCACCATCTTGTTCATCTGTGGTTGCCAACAACAGGTGATTTTCACCCCCTGCAGCATATAGTCATGCAACATCAGATCAATGAAAATATAATTTTCATACATTCAGTTTTGAAATAATAAAAAAATCTTCACATTAAAAACCTAGTATTGTTAAAACATAGCCATTTTATTGCGATATATATCAGTTTGTAAGTGATGCAGTCCAAAGTCCTTTCAAAAACTAAAGATAAATTACAAAAAAGAAATATTGTTTCCAACTGGCATATGCAGGTTTTGACTCTACAGTAGGTGCTGCTGCCTCGAGATTCCATTGTTCCCCATGACTGCTTAAGCAGATATGAAATAAAAATGTGATTAATTAGATTAATTAATTTAAAATTATCTAATTAACTAGATATTTATTTTAATTGCCTTACAGCTCTCGTGTATATCAGTTGAATATTAAAAAACACCTAGACTAAAACATTTTCCTTGGAATGAATGCAAAGTGAAACACATCAAAATGCTGTATCTTGGTAAATGATGAGACCTTGTGGAAATTAATTTCAAACACTTTTTGAATATTCTCCCTCTTGGAAACACATTTTTTCTACATTATATCTTGAACTTTCCTTCATTATTTCACAGTTTTGCTGTGAGCTGTAAATTGGCTTAACCCCATAATTCCTTGATTTCACATCGTGCCACTGTGGACTGTTACATTTCTGGTCATATGGTGTTGTTCTGTTGAATATATGCAGAGGGGGTTTATTTACAGGTAAACTGAGCAAATAAAGTGTAAAACAAAAAAAAGAAATTATATGTGAACAGGATGCAGTTTGTTTTTCTTTGGAAAACTTTGTTATGTAACCTTATTGAGCTTCTCCTATATAAATAGGATGCTGTTTGAGCCATTATTGGCCTGGTTAACACAGGGAGATTGAATCTGACTGGAAAATTCAAACTTTATATGTAGCTTTCCCAACCAACCTCATTACCTGTTCATTAGCATCATCTATCACCACCAGATCTCCTCCTCTGTTTTTGCAGTCATTTCTGCCCTCCTCCCAAGAGCCAGGGTTTGTAGAGAGGAAGTAACAGGAATGCCCGTACATATTCCATCCTTTCGGACATTTNTTCAGAGTGCCAATTCAATGCTCATGCATTTTAAATTTGGGCCACTGAATGACCCGTCACTGGGAGGCAGTAATGTACCTAAAGCTGTTGCCAACTGCCGAAACAGAAGAAGAAATGAAAAAGAACGAAGACAGGACTGTAAACCATGGCAAGTTGATTTGTAATTATTGTAAAAATAAATTATTTTATTCCTGAAGCTGCTCCAGCTTGACATATCATTTAAATGCTAAACCAATAGGCGAAATTATGTACCTAGACCTGTTAATGCTATTGTGAGCACACTTCCCCTACTCATGCTCGCTGAATGTGGTAGATGAATGAGAAGAGCCATCACAGGCAGAATGTTTAGCCATGCTCTACAAATTTTGTAATCATAGAATTCAAATTACTCATTTCAGCACCTTTAGCAAAGTGATGGGCAACCTTGACCATTATACTGCAAGGTTACTGTTAGGGTTCCTGTTTGTGGGGGTTGTTTTTGTGTTCTTTTTTTTTTTAGTGTCTCCGTGCATCCACCAGATGGTGCCATTGTTTCTCTGTTGGCCTGGAGGGCTTCTTCCTGGTTTCTACTACCCACACCTGCAGCTCGCTGGTCATTACCATCTTAGGAGTATATGAGCAGCAGACTGTCACCATCCCCTAACCAGAGTGTTTGCCAGTATTGGGTACTCTAGCCCCTCTGAGTTTAGCCAAGTCTAACCTTTGAGTTTTCGTTTCTATGAGTCCTCTAGTTCTAACCCTTTGTCTCTCTTGTGGTCTCCGGCAGGATTATCTCCTGATCAACTGGATAAAACTGGACCTTCAAGCCTTGGTAGGAATTAATTTGTCTCTCTGAGAGAAAGAAACTATTCACCAGATCAGTACACAGTCCACTTCAGGAAAGCTTGTGAAATTCTGCTCCGCTGCTCCTCTTGACCACCATTAGTCTGCCTGTCCGCCCTCCAGC